TTTGGGTTGCATACAGACCTTTTCTGTCTCCAGCTTTAGATTCAGGTGGTAATTTTAATGTTGTCCTGGACCTGATACCAGCCTCAAATACTTATACTTGTACTCATTAAAACCTTCTGATACTTCAGACCGATACCACTTTTATGTTGCGTGACATGATTTTCCATTCCACTTAGCAAGTAATCAAGGACAAAAATAATTAAAAAGTCTGTAGTGTAGAGATATTTAATCATCGATGATGTTAAGACAGAAGCCTGCTGTGTTCTTAATAAAATCAATGTTTCTTATAAGTACTAACTTGTTAACTACCAGTTATTGGTACTCTGAATCAACAAGGACCCAAACTGAAGTACAGTAGTCCCTCGCTACTTCGCGGTTTGCTTTTCGCACTCACTCATCACCGTTTTTTAAATTAAGATTGGACATGACACATGGCTGAATGATGGATGGGCCGCACGATTAGCATGGGATTTTTTTTTAAAATAAATTATTTAAAATTATTTAGCACCTGTGTGCAGCCCACAGCTGCAGAAAAAGCTTCCTCCTGCAGCTGATCAGCTGATCCTCACTCTGCTGTGGGGAGGTGGACGTGGCCATGAGCGGCAGATGGCAGGGAGCTGAAATCATGACATTCTGTGCTCTTAGAGTGTTTAGAGTTTAGAAACATTGTTTAGAATATTGCAAGAGTGTGGGAAGGGCTTAAAACACCTTAATATACATATATTTATATATAAATACTAAAATAAAGTACTACTTACTACTTGTACTACTATTCCTACTTTGCGGTTTTTTACTTAACGCAGGGCTTCAGGGTACAGATCCCCCGCCATAAGAAATGAGGGACTACTGTACTTGTACTCAGTCTGAAAAAAACTAGTATTGGGTCACACTTAGTTGATTTGACTGTGCAGTAGTCACCTTCAGATTAAATATTGTGTATTGATACTTACCTGTGTTAAATTAAAACAAGCCATGTCTTAATGTGGAGATATTTGTTTTTAGAGACGATGAAGTGTAGTAAAATGTTCTGAGTTAGTGCAGTTCTCATATTTGACCTAATGTAAATAAAATATTTTTTGGAATATTGTCATAGTTTTTGTTTTTTCCAAGCCATGTATGGTTGTACGATTATTCAAGTCACGTAGATTTAAGTTTCATTCTGGTTTTACTGAGCGGACTGTCCTCTCTCGTTTTCTCAGCTACTGGGACATGGCGTACGATAGTGATGTAATGGACAACAGAGTCGGCTTGAATTTACTTTACGGACAGGTAAGTAAATTCATCAGTCGTGTAAACCAGCTGCTGATGTCCTCTCAGAACTACCTTTTAAAATAAAAATCTTCTTTTAAAAGAATATTAAAATAAATGTGGTGCCAGAATCAAATGAAGCAAAACGTCTGATTCAAGGGTTTTGTCCTTGGGTTGTCAAATGTTTAGTTGAGCTCCCACACATCTTCGTTTTCTGGTTGTGAAGTGGCCTTGTTTTGATTTTACAACACTCGTTGCTCCTCTTTGATCTCATTAGTACCAGATTATTTGTTTTAATGTTCACAATATGTACCATTTTTTATTTCCCTAATGGAATCCTCCCAAGGGATCAATAAAGTTTGATTAAATCTAATCTTTGGAGCAGATTCAAAGTTTAGTTCTGAATTGCTGTGCATTGTCTCTGTTGCTAAAGGATGTTTGCAGGAATTTGTGCATAATTCAGTGTAATTAACAGACTTGCTAAAATGCAGTCCTTTCTGTGTGACTATCCACCAGAAGAAGACTGATTTATGTTTTGTGCTGAAACATGAATTTAATTCACTCCTTTCTTTCTCCACTAGACGGTGTCTGACATTGAGCGAGGCTGGATACTCGTCAACAAAGAGCAGCACAGGCAGCTCAAATCCCTGCAGGAGAAAGGCTCCAAGAAAGAAGTAAGCATGTGAACATCTCGCCTAGACTTTTCAGCCTTTGCAGTGTGTTAAGTTTAAATAGGTTCCGGGAGAAATCTGCTAACCACAGAGTATGGTGGCTAATGAATACTGGTGTGCTATTCTGTATTTTCCTCTGTACAAGTCGCATCAGTCCAAAAATGACTAATAAAGTGAAATAAAACGTAAATAAGTCGCTTCGCCGTATAAGTCGCATCTATTATGCATCACCGCTGACCACCTGGAAACATGGGCCAGTGTTGTGCCAAAAATCAATTGGCTGCCAAAATGGTGGCCGCGGTAGCATGCACGAGAGGACTTTAACAAGAATTGAACAAGATTAACACTTAAAAACATTTGTTTGGTCGACATTATAGCAAAGGTGTGTCTCAGTTGAACTTTTCCTTAATAAATGCACTTCAAACCAGCTGCATTTCGCCTGGGTGACGCGGCGAAATGCAGCTGATTTGACGTTTGCTCCAGGAATTCTGGAGCGAGACGAAAGTGGCTCCTTATGGCAAGCCAAGTGTCTCATTAATAACCACTTTTATCTGTTGATGAGACACTTGGCTTGCCATAAGGCTTAAGGGCCCTCTCGTGCCACTAGCGGCTGCAGATGTTAATGTTTAATATTTTTCATCTCAAAATGAATGAAATCGTCAGATCTCAGTCAAAAATTGTGCTATAAATACGGGGAAAAAACATATATTAGTCGCTTCTGTGTTTAAGTCGCAGGACTTGCAAAATTATGTAAAAAAGGTGCGACTTATACGCCGGAAAATACAGTAGTCTTGTTCTTCATGCAATATTAGTTTAATCCAAACAATAATGGGTCAATTTAAAACATTGAGTGAAGATTTCTGAAAACATTTCAGCATCTGAAATGCATGCATGTTTGTTTTTTTTTTCCCCACCTGCAGTTTATCCACCTATGTCAGACTCTGAAATATTACGGTTATATAAAGTTTGATCCATGCATCACCGACTTCCCTGAGAAGGACTGCCAAGTCATCATCAGCACCGGCAACAATGAGCTCAATTTCCACGTCAAGCTGCCCAATGAGCAGATGAAGGAGGGAAGCTTCAAGGTCACACGGATGAGGTGCTGGCGAGTCACGTCGTCTGTAAGTGAAAATGAGTGAAGTTAGTTTTATTTCTGAAGCACCGAAACAATTATCAATGGAAGCTGGCAGCAATACTTGTTTCTAATTCTTTATTTTAAACGACTATAATAGGATTTTTAGTTTCGACTGGTAAATGTCCATTGACTATGTCCGTCATGCCGCACGTGCATCTCTGCAGACCTTCAAAGCTTCAGCTCTTACATGATAAACTTTCTGCCTTCTACACAGCAAGTTAAATCACTAAACTGAAACCTGATGACTGGTTTTTATCAGCCGAGAGTATTTGATCAGTGTCCTGGTAAATGTACTGCACATTTTCAAACACAAGTATGCACATGTTTTACTGATGAAGTGGTATTTTATTTATTTATTTTTTTTATCATCTATTTTCATTGTATTTATTTTCACCATTTTCATGTTACATTTTGGGCACTGGTCTGTATAACTTTTGACGCAGCTCTTCAAACTCTAGCATTCTGAACATTTAGAATAACTAAAACTATTTGCATTTCCAGGTGCTAACAGTCTGGATCATAGAGCTAAATCGTGCTAAGCGGTGCTGATGTTTCTGCAGATGTTTCTGCAGAACACAGATCATGTGATAAACACATGAAGCTGCTATCTAGTTTACAGTTGACCTATTGGATGAATGGATCAGTCGAGAATACTATCAGTCTATCAGCTCTGAAAATGATAGCAATTAATCAGTTAGTTCATAACATTATTCAAGTCTATAGTTGCTTTTTAGATAGAGAAGAACATATCATTCTTCTGTTTTATTTTGTTTTTGTTTGGCTGTGTGTGTTTGTTTGAGTTTTTGTAAATTTTGTTGCAAACGTCACAAGACTAAATATTTCAATGGAAAAACTAATTTCACTAAAGTCATAAACAAAAACAGTTCTGTTTCCAACCTACAGCGTGAAATGAAAAACAACACAAACAAGATAAAAGTAGTGAAGTTCAATAAAGGGAGCACAACTCTGTGAAATGAGCTCTGTGATCATCTTAAAAGAAGAAAAAGAACCACGATCGTGCATTTAAGGTTATCTTGGCAGACCTAAAAACTTTGAATCTTCTTGTTTTTAACACGGGATGTTTAAAGTTGCTGGTGTGGGTTCAGCAGAACCTTCCCAGCATATTTAGTATGGTGGGTCTGTTGCTGTTTCAGACGTAGATGCAGTGCAAACATGGCGTCCTGTGGTTTTCTTTTATTCTACACACCTGCACAGAATTATTAGATTGTTTCTTCTGTGCAAAACTGACCTGAACTAGTTCTCATTTTCTGTCTTCAATTCCCAGGTATTTTAAACTGAAAACTAAAACTGATCAAGCTAAGGTCATTGATTTCCATTTTTGTTTTTGTTAATTGTTATTAAGACTTAAATAAATGTAAATACCGTATTTTCCAGACTATAAGTCACTCCGGAGTATAGGGCGAATCAGTCAAAAAATGCCTCGCGAAGAGGAAAAAACAATATACAAGTCGCTTCGGAGTATAAGTCACGTTTATTTATAAGTGTATTTCACAAAGTGCAAGAACATGCATTTAATTTGAAATAACAATAACACACAGAACTAGGACTGGATGATATGGCCAAAACTTTTATCACAATATATTTCTTATTATCGGTCAATAACTATATAATTTCGGTATCGATATAAACAATATAAAAGCCTCAGAAAAACTGTACAAATAAATTAATGTTCACCTTTTATTTGTATTTAGCCTTCAAAGAAATTTGAAATCACTGTCAAATAAACATAAAACTCTCAAAATTGTGAATATTAATAGTTTTAACTTTAAACAACAACATAACCTAACCCGTGCAGGAAACGTCACGTGTTTCTCTTTTGACACAGCTGGGGGAGTTGTTTCAGGGACACGTTGGCTCAAACTTTATTGTGCTTCATCTTCTGACTCTCAACATATTCTATCGAGCTGGACAAGTTAGATGTGTTCCCACCTCTAGTTGGAATGGATCTCCGGCGCATTTTGCAGCACACTGAAACCTGCAGTTTATCGGATCTTAGAAAGCTGAACCACTTCCACACCACCGAATTAGTCTTTCCTCTCTTATCAATTATATCATCTTCTTTCTCTTCGCATGTTCAGTCACATTCTGACGGTCATGGGCACTCGTTTTAAAGCGAAAACTTGCCGCATGACGTTGGAGCTTAGCCTAGCCTGCTACCTCTGACTCCTTGGAGGTCTGTGTGTGGTGTACGTCACCACGCACTAACGTAGTTGTGTCATGGCTTTTTCTGTTCAGGTTGAAACGGCCGCTTCAACCCGAACAGAAAAAGAAATGCGTCAGTGAAACGTTGCAATCATATCGAAATATCGAAAATGTGCTTAAAACTCATATCACAGTTATTGAATAAAAGTATATTGTGATGTATATCGATATCGAATTATTGTCCAGTCCTACACAGAACATACCTGGTATTCTGATCTGACTTAATTAACATAACAAGCCAACGAGTCCAACAAGCAAGTTACCGGTAAATTCACCAGTCTCAGGCCACATCACTTGTGGGAACACGTTAAGTTTTTCTCAGTTATGTTTGGCGGGGAAGGGTTAGCGGTAGAGGAACAACATACAGTTGTCAAAAGCCTAGAGGGACCTCTCGCAGCTGCAAATGTTAATGTTTACTCTTTGGTTCATGTCAGTACGAATGAACATTTCACGCGTCAGTTAAAAATTGTCATGAATAGGGCGAAAAATGTATATGTCGCTTCGGACTATAAATTGTAGGACTGGCCAAACTATGTAAAAAAAAAGTGCAACTTCTAGTCCGGAAAATACGGTATCTCATTTGTGTAAAGAAATTCACTAAAAAGAAGCATGTGCTAGTTTGTTGCTCTTCCTTGAATATGCTTTTTTTTTTAGTTTCCTTTAAATTCTCTAAAAGTTAATTTGCACAGAGATTGCATGAATTTAAAATGCATCTTGGCCTGTCTGATTACAGATGGAGCCCCAGAACTGCCCACCGGCGTTATTAATTCCTGAGCTCACCGTCAGAGGTCAAAGTCATTTAACAAGCCCTTTCCTGCTCAACAAAATATTCAGAGCAACTTGTTTAGTGCAGCACAGCAACTCCTTTCTCCTTCACGTAGCTGAATTTCAAATTTACATCCAAAAGAACACGTGTGCACAGTATTTATGCTTTGGTTTTTGCCAGTACTTCTTGTGTGATTAGCTTGTTTCTGGCTCATGTAATCTCAGTAAGGAGCTCAGCCTTCGTAACAAGTCGGTTCTTGGCCGTGGAAAGTCATTTTGAAGGCCTTTGTAAATGTATTTCCTGCAGCCAAACTAATTTTTTGGCTCATGTCAAGAGTTGGCTGCCTGACAATTTTGACGCAACAACTTAAGAAGAAAAAGTGTTGGAAAGGAAATGAGATTTAGCTACACAAGTTGACCCCGAGTCATGATCGGCACGTTAATTCTCTACCTAAGTGGGCAGGAAATTTGCAAATGCGATTTTGTTTAACTGCTTACACAAACACAAGAAAAATGTACCTTAAAAAGAAATGTGAGTTATATTGAAGTTGTTCTGTGGAAAGGTTATAAATAGCTAATGTCTTACCTGTTGTAGATGTCTCTGTATGGCCTCAGTTTGGAGAAATAGTTTAATTTGTACCAAGTGCACGAGCTAGCGTTAATCTCAGCGGGGCGGAGACCAACGAGGATTAAAAGAAGTCCAGTCTCAAAAGTTTCATGAAGTTTCATTTTAGCTTTTGTTGTATAATATATCCCCATCAGTTTTACATTACCAAGCTAGTCCAGCAGAAAGATTATATTACTGCTTGAAGTGGCCCAGGCTGCGTGGGAAGTGCTGCTACAGCTAGCTGCTGCTACCGCTATTTATGCTTGCAAATGAGTACAGAAGTCCACCGTAATTACGGTAGGCGTAATGTCAAATTGTCAGGAACGTAAATGTTTCGTAAAATAGCTTTCACGTTTGAGGCTGGAGCTGCTTTAAAATGGCAGCAATCCGTTTCAGTCTTCGCCCCGCTCAGACTAGCCATGAACTCGTCTGTTCAGTCAGAGTTAAACGGTTTCCCCCAAACTGAGATTCATCCAAAGAGCTGCCTACAACAGGTAAGATATTTATTGTTCATAACCTTTCCACAGAACTCAAAAGAACTCAAATGCTGGAGAGAGGAAAAAAAAGGCAATTAAAAAAAAATCTTGAGGCACCTTTCTTTATATGTTTACATGTATTGAACTTATTTTTATAGTAATTTCTTTGAAGAGATTCTTATTATAGAGAAGTTTCTAAGTTTCCATTTTGGCTTCTTTTGACCATTCCTACACCACCAGTCATTTGTATTTGTGTGCATCTGATTGATCCTTGATTGTGCAGCTGTTTAGAAGCAGCTTTAAGAGAATTTCCAGACTTGTGCAATTCTTTTCAGCTCTGGACATTCCCAGTTTGCTCAGTGCTGCTCAGAGTAACTAGTTGTCTTAGATAAATCTGCAGAGAGCAGCTGCAGTGAGTCACTAACAAATGAAACACAAAGAGACCTTGGCACTTAAGAAAAACACAAAATATTAAACATTAAGCACAACTAAATCATTGCTATATATATATATTTTTTTTTTAACTTAAACACAACAAACTAAAGTTTGCTGGTTAAAATGTTGCAAAATTCAAATTATTATGAGTAAAACATTGTTACAGTGATGACTGTTACAGAAGATAGTGTTGCTCTTAGTGACAACAAAGCATCAAAGTCTAAAATAGTTTTTTCCTCTTCAACATCGCAGCAAGTCCCAATATCCAATGGTACAAGTAACCCCTGCAGTTCAAGCAAGTCTGAAGTGAAACTGGAGCTCGCCTTCGAGTATCTTATGAGCAAGGATCGTCTGCAGTGGGTCACCATCACCAGTCAGCAGGTAAGAAGCTCAGTGTGACGTTAGCAAGAATTACATAAACTGTCCTAAAGCTGCAAACTGATCTGTTGTTGAGCTCCTAATAAACAGACGAAAGCTGTTCGTTTGACATGACTGCATTTATTATCGTGAGTCACGGACAGAAAATGTCTTCGAATGACTCAAAACAGCTGCAGCTACTGGTCTTTACGTGCCAAATGTAACTGGCTTTGTGATTTCAGGCCATCATGATGAGCATCTGCCTGCAGTCTATGGTGGATGAATTAATGGTAAAGAAGTCAGGAGGCAGCATAAAGAAGGTTTGTGTTCAAGAATAACAGTTTTTGTTTGTGATGCATGAGATTATTTTAAATTTACCTACGGTCTTTATTGGATCGTTGTGGATGTTAAATAATTTTGTTTGTAGGCACTTTTTCTAAAGAGCAACAATAATGTTTGTTGCCTCAATTTGTTTTGCTGTCTGCAGATGCTGAGGAAGCGACACAATGGCTCCATTCACCGTTCTGACAGTCAGCAAGCTGTGAAATCTCCCCCTCTACTGGTGAGAAATGGAACGGCAGGCTTTTATTATTTTTTTTTTTACATCTCCCAAGTTCAGAGATTTCAAGTACAAGGTAATTTTTTCTGTACTTTTGTTGTTGCAGGACTCTCCTGATCCAAACCGGGAACAAGTTGTCAAACTCTCGGTGAGTACTTTTAAAGTTTTCCTTTATAATGTTCAGAAATGCAACATAAAATTCAGTGCTAGAGTCACACAATCTGCTTCTGTGTCTTCTCGTACATTCCAAGTCAGTTTGCTGTGTTTTCTATTTAGACCAAGCTGAACTCAGTGTCTCTCAGAGGGATCAGCGCCTCCAACTCCGCAAATGACATCAGCAGCGACGACTTTCATGGCAACTACGCTTTTGAGGGAATTGGGGATGACGACCTGTAAACCGTGATTCACCTCCGCCCCCCCTTTTCATTCCACTGTTAACTATGACGACAAAGATTACGAGCTGAGCCAAGCGTTCCACACTTTTCCATTTCTGCAAGATTCTAGCTGCTTCCTGGCTGCCTTAAGCTCTCATTTAACCTTCGTTTCTTAAGACTGAAAACTCATTTTGACTTTTATTATAGTGCTAACCACCTGTTTCCAACTACAATACTGGACTGCACGAAGAAACCCTGGGTTCTCCCTTGAGTGTCTGCACGCTCAAATGTCAGGCTAGACCAGCCACTAGTGATTATATAACCTAGAAGTGAGCAAATAATTATTTCAACCATCCAGCAATTTTCAGTAAATGCTTTTCAAATTTATTCCACAGCTGTCAATAGCAGTGGTTCCCAACCATAGTCCTTGAGGAACACCATCCCTGCTCCAACACACCTGATTCAGTGATTTAATTACTGCCTCAAGTTCTACAGAAGCCTGTTAATCACTCGTTCGTTCAAATCAGGTGTGTCAAAGCAGGAAAACAAAACATGCAGGATGGTGTTCCTCAAGGACTATGGTTGGGCACACCAAAGTTCATGCTCAGTAATCCAGGCATAAAATCCAACATTCTAAAAAAGTAAAGTCTGGCCCTCTGGATGAGTTCAAAAACAAAAAATTGTAGAGACGTTTCATCTTTTATCCAAAGGACTTCCTCAATCTGAGAAGCCGTCAAGCAAAAATGATTCCCACAAACAACATACACCTTAGTGGGGGGGAAAAAAAAACGTTTACTGGTGTGGTCCTTGGAGAGGGCGGGCAGCAAACTGTTTTTTTCCCTACTGTGGTGAAGGCTGTTTGTGGGAATCATTTTTGTTTGGTGGCTTCTCAGATTGAAGAAGTCCTTTGGATGAAGGACGAAACGTCTCTATAAATTTTTTTTTGTTTTTATGAACCTGTCCAGAGGACCAGACTTAACTTTTTTAGATTATGGTTGGGAACCATTGGTTTAGAGTAACTTGTTAGTTCTACTTGGCTAAATAGAAGAAAAAAAATGTTATGGTTTGTCCCGTGTGTGTAATGAAACGTGCCAAATTAACAAATATCTTTGGAGGTGTCATCCTGCCCTCAGAAGTAGTTTGGTGCCTTCACTGTTTGCCTCATAGAGAATCTCCTGCCATTCAGTGTTGGTTGGGAGGAAACATTTAAACCAACTATAATCTTGCAGAAGTTGATGGAAGGTTGATTTGGTTGAGCTGCTTGCACTTGCTGAACCCATCATTTTGCACAGTATTACAAGTAGAGGTGGGAAGAACGTTAAAAGATTATGAAGAATCTTTCTCCTTTTTCACGAGCTTCTGTAAATCCATATTTTTTTTTAACACGGTTTTTTAAGGGTTCTCATAAATGCCAAATTATAGTTTACTGAAGCATTTTGCACAAAAAGTACACAAATTATGACATTGTTAGTTTTTTATTCTGTACATGCATGTAAGCATTTTGAACATTTACTAATATTTTTTTATCATCATAGCTTCTTGTAATCAAATAGATCAAATGTAATCTAAGGTGTCTGGAACAAAGCGTAAATGGACCAACATTTATTATGTTTACATAATGATGTTTAGGGGACTTTTTTTTAATTAGTTCTTATGGAAAGTTTACAAATTTTGTTCGTCTTTTCCTTTTCGAGCAGGTGATCATACTGTTGCGGACGTTCTTTGGTTTTATAATTTCTCGGTTGATTGTGCCAATCATCTCAGAAGTTTCTCAGAAAAGGTGCTTTGAAGAGGTGACTGTGACTGAAATTGCTGGAGTTAACAAAGTAATAGTGGGGATTAAAATGGACATCTCACATTTTTTTCGAAGGTGTCATTTTATGTTGCTGTTAGCTTGAGTTACTCAAAAAGCTGTCTCTAAATGTAAATCAGTGCCGTCCCATCAACAGCTTTACTCTCTCTGGTCAATGTTCTCAGTGTAAATGTCTTGTTCTGTCGGTGCTGGGTCTTCTGTCCTTTGCTTCTGTATGGTTGAAAGGTTCATGTGGACACCACTCGTCATTTTTATTCTTGTACAGCGCTGGAAGGTCCTGGATGCCAGTACGTACCTGTACATGTGTAGATGCCAAATGACACTGCAGTTTCTCCATTAGCATCACTTTCCAACTAAATTACTTTTTTATCAACGTTGTACCGACTTCATTCAACACACTAATGTTTATCATGGTTTTATTGGTACGTCTGCTCTGTTTGTCTAGATGCTAAAATAAACTGAAATGCAGCAGTCAAGAGGTTGTCACCTCATGGTTTGTGCAGGAGAACCACAGGCTTTAGTATGAGGACTTTTTTCTTTCAATGAAAATTATATAGAATTACAATTTAAGAAGTAAAAACGTTTTATTGTAAATTAGTTTTCACTGATTTGTGGATGCACTTAGTTTCATAAATACAAGAGCAGTTGTCCTATTAGGAATATCATCAGTGTTCCTAGTAGGACAATTATATAAATAGCTTTTCTGTTTTCTTCCATTTTTGTTCAGAGATTACTAACTTGTATGTGGATGCCAGCCACTTTTAGGATTCCGAGCAGAAGCACAGCAGAGGGGGAGGTTTAAGAAGAGCCAGTTGTGATCTTCAAAAATTAACCTTCACATTTTACCCTCCAAATATTCTAATTTATAAAGTTTAGCTCATAATTCAAAAATACTTTATTAATCCCAAAGGGAAATTAAATGCTGTAGCTCATCATCCTGGTTTCATTCAAGAGTTGTTATAAATGCTGATAGTTGTGAGCAAGAAGGATCTCCTGCAGCGAGGCTGAAGAATCTGGCCACAGATACCGATCTGTCCACCCAGATCCAGCTTGCTGTCGGATCCGGCAGGCCTCTCGGTCCTCCTGTTCAGCAGGACTGCCCAAATGCCGGGCAGAACTCCTCCCTGAGCGATGGTCACTCCTCCCAGCAGTCTGCTGAGCTCCTCGTCGCCACGGACAGACAACTGAAGGTGTTTGAGGATGGTCCCGGTCCTCCCGTTGTCATGTGCCGAGTTTCCCACCGGCTTCAGGATATTGGCAGTCAGATTGATGGGAATTCGTCCACGGCGCCTCCTTTTCAGCTCAGTTGGGATTTGGGGCTGTAGTTGAGGTATTTGAGCTAATATGAATTATGATTTCTTATATCAACTACTGGGCAGGAGCATCTCAAGAATTTTTTTTTAAATTGTGAGGGGGGTACAGATAATCTTGGTAGTACAAGTCAAATAAATGTCATAAAATTAAGGATTTATTTATATTTTTATGTAGCTGCCATTTTTTAAGCCATTTGAAAAATATCAAAATAAGGAAAATGGTAAATCCCTTTCTGATATTGGACTAATGTGGTTTTGTTAATTTCTAAAAACATCATGATCACTGCTCAACTCACCGACACCCGCCCTCGCTCCTCTTTAATATATTGTATTTATAAAGATACATAAAACCCTCATTATAAAGGGACATCAGTGTTCTGCCTCATAATTTATTTTGTTTGACTTGGACCTGTTCTTATAGAGACCAGCTTTAAAAGTTCATTTTTTAAATTTAATTTAAATTTTAAATAAATCCATATATAGTTATATATTTAGGACTTGAGCCTTGTTTATACTTCATGAGGAGATGTTATGGTTGACAAAAAATATTTTAATCTCACTTCCTGCTCAGACCAGTTTTTGCATTGCCCCCAGAGAACGCAACAGATTTATGAGTGACCTCATGTCCCTGCCACTGAGTTCTAACTGGATAAACAGACAAGTTTACTACAAAGATCGAGCTAAATACTCTGCTAGTTTATCATACTTTTTTTTTTATTGAAATATTTTGTTTAGTCAAGATGAAGCTGATAAAAAGTCCAACAGCTCTAATCGTATGGGGTCATGCATGCTTGCAGCAGCATCTAGATCCACTCATCTCCAGTTGGATGCAACTTAATACAAAAATTCTGATCCATTATTTTTATTCTGTAATAAACTTTTACTTTTCAAAGGTTTCTTCCATAATGCCCCAATTTATGGAACTCAAGTTTGTAGGGTTACAACTTAAATTTTAAATTAATTAAATAAGACAAATGGAAACTGGTGACAGGAAGTAATGACCAAAACACCTTAGGATGCTGTACATTCAACTCAACTATTTTTTTTTTTTTTAAATCTAGCTCTAACTGTATGTAGAAATGTATAGACTTAATTGGAGGAAAAAAGACAAACAGTCTGATGTGTGACATTAAATGACATGAGATCCACGTGTTTATTTTCTTGTTTTAAGGCATTCATGAGACACTGCATAGACAACTGGTCTCTTGCTGTAAAGGTTTAGGACTGATGCTCCATCGTGACACAGCAAGTTGACAACCTGCAGAACGTCTCCCTTGCATATAATCATAGATCACAAAGGCTAATTTTAAATCACAGTTTTTAAATCTTCCGATCATGGCAGCTAAAAAGAAACAGCACCTCTACGCAGTTAAGTGCATTACAGCCACGTATGAGAAACTAGTACTTGTTCACATGCTTACTAACAATTTAACCTCTTTTCAAGTTAACCAAAACAAGATAATTTCACAGTAAATGTTAACTGGAATCAACAGTCTCCCTTTAAAAGGTGTTAAAAAATGACAAAATATAATATAAAACTTTAAAAAACAAAACGCCGATATGCTAAAAGTACAAGTCTGTATGGGGAAATTCGAGACATTTTTAATCACAGTCATGAGAAAAACATCCATATATGTTTCTTCCTATTTTTAAATGCCAAATCTGTCACTTTGTGCTTCTTTATTAGAACCGTTGGGATGATTTTCACTCATTACCACTTCTCTTGATGTAAACTCATCCTATCAAATGGTTATTTTTGCCCTCTTTAAAATGTCAACTGGCAGGCATCTAAATAAATAAATGACACAAAATAAAAGAAATATGACCATCTTTACCCTTACAGAAAAATAATGTGACATGCTGCACTCAGCTTTTGCATCACAGCTCACAGAAGAGGCCAAATAGCTTTGCTGATTGACAAAATAACTGGCAAACAGTCGTTGTTAGATATATTTAACTTGTTGGATACGAAGGTTTAACAAACGCCAGAGAAACAGGATCAAATAAGAGAGAGTCGTTGCTTCTTTAAGTAACTGACTGCATCAGTCAGATGCTAACGTGAACTGGAGCAGAATGCACAAGAGCAAGTTTTGGCGATGCTTCTAGACATGAGCAAGAAAGAAACAACGAAATAACCAACATTAAGGAATCTTAGGAGAACGAGGTTAGTGACTACGTCAGGATGAAGACATCCTTGACACAATGCTGAGGCGGAGCTGCTCAGTAACATTCAGCTTTGCTGCGTCGTCAAGCTGCTCTGATGTTGGAACGATGCAGCTCAGCAAACAGATGCACCGTGAGCACAATCACAGCCCACGATGCCAAATGAGCTTCGAAACAAATCAAAGAGAATAAATATACACACGTAGTTCACTGTAGACTGAGCAGCAGGTTAATGTATGTGATAACAAAACCAAATAGCGCTCGGCATTCAAGTTATTGTTCACTGTTGATTCTGCATGAACAGAAGAATCACATCTTAGTGGTCCTAAACGGTTTAAGTGTTGAACACAGCCTGATAACAAGCTTTTGCATGCAGTCTTGGTATTTAAAGAATTTCCAACTTATTTCCATTTTTGTCCATGTTTTAAAGTTACAAATTAACACGCTGAAGTCATCAGTTAAAAAACAAACTAAAAAAATGAGTTATTCAAGTGAGGGTATCATTTATCGTAGTTTAAATTACTTCTATAATCAAGTCTAAAACTATTACAGTACTATTAAATAGCACTTAGTATTACAAACATTAATCGGAAGGCATACCATTAACAAGAGCTTGGATGCTACGGCTAACAAAGCACAATATGAATATGGCCTTCTGAAGAACTTTGCTTAAAGCTGCACTGTGTAGTTCAAGAAGTGTGCTGAATGTGCACGTATTTCAAACATAACCAAACGTTCAAATAAACAAATGATGTGGAGTTGTAATCAAGAGTTAGTATTTTAGTGCAGAAGACAGCTGGTCAGAGCGAGGCCTATTCCAGAGTCGATATTTGTTCAGGTTTCAATCTTTGCGTTGTGATTTACACTGAAAACCACGTCGACTGGATCATGGTCCACTGTTGTCCATGTATTTATTTGGTGCAAAAGGCATTAAAAGTTATTTAAATACACATTCTTTTGAATTGCTATAAAATAATGTACATTGACTTATTTAAGATGACTGACATCCACTGGGAAATAGGACTAGCTGTTAGCTCCTCCATGTAAACTTCTTGGTGATTCTCCAGCCTGATTTCATTCAAACTTTGGTCTACTGCAGGTAAAATACTTACTACTTATAAACAACTCCATAAAACCCCACTTCAAAAAACATAACTGTTTTATTTTAAAAAAGAAAGAAAGATAGGAGAACTAAAATAATGAACCATTTGATTTTTTGGTAAAAAAAAAAAAAAAATCTGAGCACAACTGTAATAAACGTAAATACAACAATTTCTTTTAAAAACTGTATTAAAAGCATGAAGAAATGTACACACTGCATCTCTAAACAGCTCAGGCAAATGTTCCCTAAAATACAAATACTTGGCAGTATTTTTCTTTTTCAGAGTGAAACGTGCATGTCTTGTGATTTAAGCAGCCTGGCATGGTGCCGTTTAAACAACGAGACTATAAGAAGCTTTTACAGAACTTAGCTCAACAGGAAACAGAGGACGAACTATGACCCTCTCATTATTTAACCCAAAAAGGCAACAAAATGTAAAACAACAAAACAAACGATTGGTCTAAACTTTGACTACATACAAACAATTAGCAGCCTTAGAACATCTCTGACATAACACTGAAAGACACAAATGAAAACCAGACAACGGCTCAGTGAGAACAAACAAAAGAGTTGCTGGTAGCTTAGTTTGAGTTATAAGTTACACAATCTCAAGTTTGTAGTTTCAATGTATTGCCTGACCCCCCTCCCTTGGCAAATACTGTACACCAACTCCTGCTTCCTTTCTGTGACTCTGAATGCTGCTGCCCATCCTTTTCCTCACGTCCTCCTCTGCGTCATTTCCAATCATTGGAACTTTGACCCAGCCGTCTGTGGCCACGCCGTGTTTCTTCTGGTGTCGTTTGTAGTTGTCCCAGTGTCCAGTGGTGTAGCCACACTCCTGACATTTGTACGGCTTTTCCCCGGTGTGTCGCAGCATGTGTCGTTTAAGGTTCATGCTCTGGTTGCAGCTGTAGTTGCACACCGCACACTGGAAGGGCTTGGCGCCCGAGTGCACGCGCTGATGCCGCTTAAGGTTGGCCAAGTTCCCGCACGCGTAATCGCACAAATGGCACTTGTAAGGTTTCTCTCCTGTGTGCACCCTGTGGTGGCGCTTGAGGTTGTCAAAGTGCGCGGAGGCGTAGTCGCACTGCGGGCACTTGTACGGTTTCTCGCCGCTGTGAGTTTTCATGTGGCGCGCCAGGTGGTTGGGGTAGTGCGTGAGGAAAGGGCAGGCGGCACAAGTGTACACCTTGTCACTGCGCTCACCGGGGCTGTTCGGAGACGAAGAGGAGTCTTTAGTCAGCATTTCAAGGGTGCACTTGGCACATATCTGGGTTGAGGAGCCGTCCTCATCTTCCAGTACAATGCCACACAACCGGCAAGTATAGGGAAACAGTGAAGGTGGGAGAGCGGCACCTTCTGCTCCACTGCCTCTGGTAGTCCTGCTGCTGCCTGTCATCTCCAGCAGTGGTGAAGGTTGGTGGCCAGAAGCTGGGTTGGAGGCAGGTATAGGTGGTGGCGATGCTCCCTTTAAGCCATCAAAAACTGATAAGTAGTCACTGCTGTGGGCTCCCAAACTGAGGTTAGAGGTCGGCCTTGCAACCTCTGATACTTCTTGAGATCAGAGTGACAAAAAAAGAAGCATATCACTGATCAGCACTATTTTACATGTAATACGTGTTTAAAACTCAGAAAACAATAAAAAGCCTTACCTGAAGCACTAGACACTTGATCGTTAGGGCTTTGCTCACTCGCAGGCCTCTTCGAGCTGTTCTGGACGCAGGCAATTCGCGGCAGAACCTCCTGTCCTAGCAAAGCAGAGGGCACGTGCATGCGTTGGTGCCTTTTGAGGTTGCCAAGGGAACTGCAGGCGAAAGCACACCTGTCACATTTGTAGGGTTTTTCCCCGGTGTGAATGCGAAGGTGTCTCTGCAGGTTCACCAGCTGGGCTGAAGCGTAAGTGCATATGGGACAGTTGAAGGGCTTCTCCCCATTGTGAGTCTTCATGTGACGCTTCACGTGGTTGGCATAACGCGAGGAGAAGCCACAGATGTGACACGAGTGCTGCTTGGACAATTTGTCCTCGGTAGACAGTTCGTCCTTGTCACCCAATTCACTATCCACCCCCTCACAATCAGATTGGGAATCTGTATGACTCTGCGAACCAGAGTGAATTCCACTACTGCTTTCAAAAGGTGAACAGAAGTCTGTACTTTTAGTTTCCCTGGAGGCTTTGCAGCACCTAAGGCAGTACGGGCCAACCAGGTCTATGCCAGGTCCAAGGGGTTCATCACGGAGCTGTCCACAGCCCCTGCAGGACAGGTAAGGAGGAAAGCTTGGCTCAGACGGAGTTGCTCTGCCCTCGTTTCTCCTGTCGTCAGCTGTGCTGCGCGAGTTGTCCGTTTTACTTTCCATACTGAGCTGGCTGTAGGCAGAACTCTCCTCATCACCCAGAGGATACACAGAGAAACCGATTTCAGCAGCTACTTCTGTGAAGACAAACAGAAACATTTATTGAGCAGAATGTTTTCAGAATGATGACTCATGACTAGAGAAGATGATCAGTGGCAAAAAAAAAGCATAATCCATTTATTAATGAAAACAATATTACTGCTATGATACAATGTCCACCTGTAATGTGTAGAAACCCAAGTAATGCACAAAGCTTTGTCTGTCCATCCATCCATCCCAGTGGGTTGTGGTTGGGAAACAGTTATAGGGAGGTGAACAGGAGACAACCTAACCAGACGCCTGAAACACATCAGCTGACTCCTTTCAAGGTGGCGGAGCAGCAGCTCTACACTGAGCTTCCCCTAAAAACAAAGCTCCTCACCTGATCTGAGGCTGAGCCCAGATTCAAGAGAATTTTCATTTCTAGTACTTGGGTCTCATCGTTTTGGTCATGGTCCATATCTCATGATCATAGATGAGGACTGGAACCTTCTTCACCACAACAGACTGGAGCAATATGCTCAATATTGCAGATAAGGCCTCAATCTGTTGTTCTATTTCCTGTTCCATCATGCCATCACTCGCAAATAAGACTTCTAGAAAGTTCTATAAGGAACAAAGACTCGTTCCTTACCGTAAGGTCAGCTTATTAAAGCCTTATTATCAATAATATAAATACATTAAAATGAATAAACCAACCAATAAACTGTGCAGCAGCCAGCTTTGTTATTGTATGAGAAGGTTTAGAGTTAGACAGATGGGTTTAAAACCTGACAGTAGACACGTAATGGTACTCTAACAACTTTCCCATCAGCTGTTTTGAACAAAGCTTTATTATGTACATGTGATGTGAAAAAATGTGTGTACATTTAACTTAACATGGCAAAATTAACATTCTTGTTATTCCACAGTTATCAATAGCCAAAAAGAAATTACAAGATTTTTGGCAACTGACCTAAAAATCTCTTTATAATCTAATAACAGGTGTACAGATAGCCAAACAGTTTTTTTTTTTTAATCCTGACAACCACAGTAATTTTATCCTAAGAGAGTAATTTCTTCAGTATAATCCCAAATTGTGGTTGCAACATTGAACAGCTGGGCATATTTTTAGGAGTATAATCGCAAATGACGCTCAAATGCATTAGTATTTTTTACTGACACAAATAAAAGCCTGTAAGTCTTCTATGCAGTGGCCACAAACTAAATGGCCAAAAGTCAACAAGCGTTTATGTTGCAGGAAAAAAAAAAAAAAGATGTTTTTTATTGTGGGAATATTGTGAACCTTCTGTAAATTAGCTTGAAGACTGATGCATAACAAAATAACTTTGTTTATGTTTATGTTTTGTATGTGCTAAACACACCTTGAGTTTCAGAAGTTCAAATTTTAACACAAAAAACTGCAAAACTGTCTGATGAATGTAGAAAACCACAACCAGGTACAGGACATTCCAAACAAAACACATCCCACTGACTGGGTGACTAACCACAGGGCAGACAGCCCGACTCCACGTTAACGCATCAGATTTCAGAGAAAGCGTAACAAAAGATACTCACGATGCAACTAACAAGGTCAAGGGTTAAAGTAAAAACAAAAGGAGGCGTTTTCTTTTCTCCAGGAGGTAGAGGGAAGAGCTTCAAGACTCCAAAACCTGGAGCGGACGGGGACAAAAGAGACCCAACTTCTTTTCCAGATGCTGAAGCACAAAGTGAGGAACGCAAGAGCTGAAATGCCCTTTTATCCTGGCCCCTGGAAACCCCTCATGATGATTACATAGCCTAATGATAATGATGATGACTATAATGGTGAGGCTGCTGGTTCTGATGATGATGATAATGATGATGATGATGAGGGCAGAAGATGATGGTAGCAGTGATGATGATGATGATGGGGGAACCGATAATGGCAGTGCAGTAGTGGGAGCAGAGGTAGCAGATGATGATGATGATGATGATGATGATGAAATGCCCTCCTATAATGGTGTCCTTGATGGTAATGGTCCTATCTTTATGACCCTAATATAATATTGGTGTCTCTGTTCCTTCTTCTACTTTGTCATTTCTCTGATCAGTCAGTCTGACAGAGACTTCAAACATGAGCAGGATGTTGGGGTTTATCTTTGTTGTTTGTTTTGTAATTGCTGCATATAAAATCTACCCCTCATCACTTAAACTATGGAAACTGAATGACCACGACTGAATGAAAAAAAAAAAAAAACTGGTTAGACCCATGTGATTAAAACTGTGCAGAACTTAACATTAAAATGTACGATAACCAAGCTAAGATAAGACAAGAGTGAGTTCTAGTAATTTCTAAAGTTCTAGTGATTTATTTTATATAAAAGTCTGAAAACATAAAAATATGTCCGAACAAAGGATGGGCTGGGATATGTTACTTACAGCCAAAGCGACTGCTGTTTTGAAAGTCTGTCTTCTGTTGCCCACAGTTACTCTACTAACACCAACTAACCCACTAACATGAGGTGGCAGTAATGCGTCAAGTTGTTTCCAAACCAGCATGATGTTTATTTCAGACAGGCACGCTAAATCTGGATATGATCCCATGTCTGTTCCAGCCACTGTAGTTTAATTAGGAAAGGACTGCAAAATGGAAACTACAGACATGGAGGGAGTTCCACCTTTACTGCCAGAATACATGCCCACTCCTCCAAATTAATGGATTTAACTTGCAACACTTAAAGGAATGCAAATACTCCCAGCACACAGAATTAGCCACAGCATACATGAGCATCCTAGAAACCTCTGTTCTGTCAGAGGGGACTTTTACCAGCCACACTTCAGCAATTATTTAAAACAAAAATACTAATCTTTAAACAGCTGCTAACATTAGTCCTGGTTAAGATGGACGTGATGAATAATGCTCATACAAGTATTCTCTTACATTGTTGAGAGTTTGTTTTCAGAATGGTACCATGAGAACTTGGTTTAGCTCGGCACTTATTTTTATTATCATAAACAAGTTGTTGTGCTAACTTGGTTTGAGCTTAATTCATTAATTCACTCTAAATGAACAAAAAGAGAAAAAAATAATGCATGAATAGCTGTCACTTGTTCTTTTTCTGTGTGTGTGTGCACGAGGTATGAGTGGGATGTTATTTAGATTAATTAATGCTTTACTGACTAATTCAAATAGTATCTCTGCTTGCCCAGACTCTTTCATAACAGATAGAGTTGCAAGAACAAAGTACTTTCCTCCATCTGACGCAGTAAACAGCCTAAATTTGTACTCAGGCAAATAAACACATTTGTGAGTGCTGGTGTTAGGACCCCGACTGATTACTTTTATGACATTTCCGTGCCCTTCCTTCATAAGACGAGCCCCTGCTTACTATTTCAAGGTCTCCAAGAGTGCAGTAGTAATACCATGCATTTGATTAGTGGTTGAGTGTGTCTTTTATGTGCAAAACCAAAGGGCGTAAATAGTGCTAGGCTGTGTGGTGATTATGTCATGATTGCCTGGTCTCCTGCCTTCAAGTATTTCACACCGAGCCAAAACCCCGAGTGGCTCTAAAACAGTTTTTAAAAGTTTCCTCTGAGAGTGGCAGACTGGTGCAATCAGACGGAAAAAAGTTCAGGAATTTTTTTGGGGGGCATTAGGAGCCAACTGGAAGCTAGAGAGCTGGAAGTTAAAATAATCTTAATGTGAACTAAATATTCCTCTCCAAAACATGCCAATGACTTTATTCCCTCATTTTGAAATCATGAAGCAAAAGGGGAAAGTCACAGTGAGGTGTTCAGTGAAGAGCAACAGACTACAAGCTGCATATCTCCCAATGTTTGTGTTACATAAAACCAGTCAATGTAGTTGTTTTTGACCAGTTGGTTGTACTTCACATAATTCACTATTTTTTATTTTATTTAAATGTACAAACCTGAAAACTTTTCCAGGCTTAGAATCTTGTCGTGATCTGGATCACCAAACACGAGGTCTTGTCCAAGAAGGAAGTCGGTATCTAAAGGGAGGTTTCCTGGAGCTTCAACAGCTACACCATCTTCAGAATCCACTATGAATGGATCCAAATGAATAAATAAGTAAATAAATACTAATAAATTTGCAAATACAAATATTGTGTTATAATCAAAATGCTGACCATTCAGTACTTTGGTTATATTTAGCATTAATAGTGAGAAGTAAACACCTTAATGTTTAAGTCTAAATATATTACAGAGCAGGGACTCCATAGGTACACTACGTTTAACCCTACGAGGTTATAGGATTTAATAAAAATACGACCTTAAGCCATCTGGAAGGAGGAAAATGCTATTTCAAAAACACTAGTTTTCTGGTTGGCTGTTTCAATAATACTTTTCATAATTTAGACAAGTTCAAAACCCCATTTACAAAGGAAAATAAAAAAGACAAATACATTTTCTTACACTTACCATTTTAAAACCAAAATAAACTGACAACAGCTGACAGATGGAGCTCTTTTATTACAGATGCAGCCAATGACGCCTGCTTTTATAACTCTGACTCAAACGCACATCTGTTGCTCTTCAGCAAACATCAGGCCAATTCAAGCATGACATTCTTAGGAATCCTTTCATTTAGAGCCAGTATAAAATATACAATCAGATAAAGGCAAAAACATTGACATAAGAAAATTCAACAAAAGGATAAATCTATTTTAGGTGAGATTATATGAGGAGTAGTCTGTGCCATAGAGGTCACAGTTTGAAGAATCAAGGAGGAATCTTGTGTCTATAGCAGAAATATATTAATTACTCCAAAAATACTCTACACACATAATAAATTACAAAAATAATCATACTATCCATTTAAGGCCGTGCTGTAAACAGTGTCAATCCACAAATTATTTAGATCAGATAGTCAATAATTATAAATTGGAGGCGGACAAAACCTTGTTTTATGCTAATTATATTTTAAAAAGACAAAAGCAAAACATATTCATCTTTAATAATTTATAAATTACACCAACTATTACTCCAGACTCTAAGCATACATTAACTATTAACTATCACTTTCATACTAACAGCAACTCATATCTGTACATGAACCAATAAACATGTTCATGATGCATCAAAGTAACAATTATCCAATCAATAAAAGAGTAATGCAGGAGTAAAACTAAAATATATTTAAACAATGTTATAGAGGCTTATCCGACTCACAGATTTCTAATTTACAACTAATACGCTTTAGTATTAAAATCAGAGTGAGCACAGTTCACAATGTTACATTAAAGGCAGAATGTGAAATGTGTGCTTTAATAGATAAGATTGTGCTATTTTGTTTGTGAAATGTTACTGGTTCTTTAACATCAAGTGGTGTCCAGATGTGAGCAGAAGAAGCAAACAGCTGGGACAGCACTGACAGACATTTAATCTTAATCAATGGAGGCACACAGCGTGGTGTGTGCGCTAAAATATGAGTTTTAAAATACTGTATACAGCTTAGTTTATGCCACAAATGTTCAACAATAACAACTGACATGAGGAAGACACTAAGTGGAACACTTACACTTGACTGGCTGTGGATTCTGTTGTTTTTTTCTTGGCATCTTCCAGTCAGCCTCTCTCTTTTTTCCAACGTCTTGACACAGACCTTGGCAACCATCAGCTCATTTTCATCTGTTTGAAAAATATTTGCCAGTGATTCCATAAAATCAAGGTAAAGAACACAATCATTGAGATTTATTATGTAAAAATATGTGCAAATCTTTAAAAAACAACAACCAAAAGCAATAGGCTTAGTTTGTGTCATCAACATCCACTTGAGCTTTAACAGTATTTTTGTTTATCTACGGTCGCATCAACACAGACTATATGTGGGTTTATTGAAATTGTTGTCACAATATTCAACTATATATTTGGATGTTTAATGAATACTGTGCTGCCCTACTCCATATGAATTAACTGAAAAAGAAGAAAGAGTGTAGTAGCTACATCTATTCTTCATCTATTCACGTTTTGCACTCAGTATTCTTCACTCAACACTCAATATGCTGCTTTTTCTTGCTGAAAGAAGCCACTGACAACAAGAAATAACATTTCAGCATCAATATTGATTCAAACTGAACCTGCATTGCTGTTTGACTAATTTAAACCTATATATTTTTTTACAAAATTAAAATAAAGTAGCAAAGGGGAAATCACAGACCGCCAAGAACTGTGCATAAAATAAATACAAACACCTTCGTATGAGGACCATAACTACATTATTAACTCTCTAAATATGCCCCTAGATTTTACAGAAGTGTCTGTGTACATGAGAAAATTAAGCAGTATTTCTTCTTAAAGTCAGTGTTTACAGTATTCATGCTTATTTTTCTCCAAGTGATGCATATACACTGCAAACAATAGCCATTAAGCCACTTTAGCAAAATGGCTAACGAATTAGCTGATGTGCGAGACAGTAGTGGGCAAATTAAGCTTCAATAAATGTCCTCAGTTAGTATAAAAATGTAACGAATACACAATATATCAATAACTGCACGATCGCAGCACGATAAGTCGATAATTTAAAACACGTCCACGTGATGAAGTAATGACTTAAATACACCATAATTAGTAAACATTAGACAGAAACCCCCCAAACCGTACAGCTAATTAGCGACTAGCTATGAACTCATTGGTTAGCTACCAGGCTAACTTACCTACAAAACGTAAATACTGATGTCGGTCTTTATCGGCGGTAAACTGTCGTATAGATGGACAGCATTTTCCCTCAAACGTTCTACATCTGGAGATCCGCCATTTCTTGACGAGCTGCCGTGACAAAGAAAGGCAATTAACGATATTTTTCATAACTTAATTGATTTTCTGATTCGCCTGTGATCCAACTGCAGCGACAACTAAACTTCCGGCTTGCGAATTTCAGAATAAAAGCCTCATTTCATTCGTTCCTTCTCAACGCCCTCGTGTTCACCACAAACTCGTCCATCACCATTATAAAAATCTAATATTGAATTTCGTCATTTTGTCTGCGGTGGAGAAACAAGCAAACCATGACGTAGATTTTTTTTTTTTTAACATTTCCCCTAAATGGTACTTATTTACTAAATTGTGTTTTATTGCTCACATCAAGATTCTTGCACTTCTTTCAAACAAACAAATACAATAAAAATATATATTTCTCACCAGCTTCTGACAGTGAAACACACAATCAACTTTATTTTATGATCTTTATTAAAACGCAAGCACAGTTGATTTTAAACTATCTTCAGTTTACATTTTTTTGACAGCTGTCAAATTCATTAGAAACAAGTAATCAGGCATTGAAAAAAGTATTGAATAATTAAATAAAAGTCCTAAATTTCTATATACTATACTTTTCCTAATGTTTTGACACTCAGATGTACATATTCCTCATCTGTTTACACATATATCGTTTTTATAATGTCTGATAATTTTCCCTTAAAGTTTCTAATTTTGGTTAATTTGACAACAACGTTTTCATCAGTTTTGGTTGTTACATTTCTAAAGGGATCAGCAAGATCGGGCTTTTTATTGCTTCAAAGTTTTCATCCAGTTAATCACAATTTATCTTAACAAATTTGATACAAAATATTGTATTCAAATATGTATTTACTTTTTTAATTCAGTAATTCACAATTAAGTACCTCAACAATCTGTCAAGGATGTTCACAAAATTAAAATATGAAATGCCTTTTTGGGTCACGGGGGTCGTGCCCATGTCGCTATCACTGTGAGAGGCGGAGTACACTCTGGACAGGTCTCTAGTCCATTGCAGGGACACATAGAGCAAAACAAGAAAAACAACCATTAGAGTTACCAGCCTAACATTTATGCTTTTGGTCTGTTGGAGAAAACCAGAGTATCTGGAGAAAACCAATACATGCACGGAGAGAACATGCAGGATCCACGCAGTGGGGTCCCGCGCAGGGATTTGATCTAGTGACTTTCTCACTGAGGTGCGGCAGCCCTTTCAGCTGCGTCACCATGCAACCTCCATGAAACAAATCCATCCATCCATCCATTATCTTTACCCGTTTATTCCATTTTGGG